GCGTCCATCCGCGTGATGATCCCTTACATACTTCGGCCTCTATTCCTGTTGTGCTTCATAGCCTGCTGAGAGGCAGAGGCATGAAAGCCGACCTATCCGGCCGGGCTGATATCAAGATAGCATGCTTCCTTTTCTCGCTTAATCAACCCCCCCTCCCCTCCCTGTCGGAGTATACCGACCACTATGAACCAGAAAGAAAAAAAAAAAAAAACAATCGCTGGCGAGGCGTGAACAGGTGCTGCCTTCCAATCCGACCCTCCCTAATCCATCTAATAATGTTTATTGGGCGATCATTCCTGCAGGAGCTGAGAGCTAACCTAATCCGAATGAGTTCTGGAGATCATCTCGACGGCGCCGGGGTTTAGTTTTGTGATTGAGACTCTTCTTGATGGCTAACTTACTAGTCATTATTTCTGGGGCATGAGAGGACGACTAGCTAGGTATAGGCACTTGCATAATTCGGTACTTTTGTCGAACCTCATGGGCAAAAGCAAAACTATGAGAAAAATAACAAATTTCAACCAATTTTTTTCCTAAAAAAAAAGAAAAGAAAGGAAACAAAAGAATTTTTTTCTAAAAAAAAAGCCAACGCGGGATTTATCGACCTCATGTCTACGCAATCCAGAACCGAAGACCCAACCACGCCAACCAAGAGCGAGAAAGAGTGCGACTATGGGATAATGATTTGTGCCTGCGAGGAAAGATTCTTCATCTGCTCTGGCTTCATCCGTCGCACTGGCACCCACCCTCTCGCCAGACATGCATGCATCTCAGCTCAGAGCTAACATGCCCTGGTACTCAATCAGGAAGATGGTCTCTGACAGGTCTTATGCCGGTCGACGGAGAGAGTCCGTCCCTCAATCAATGAATCAATGAATGAATGAATGAATGAATGAATGAATGAATGACTGACTGGATTAATGCTCATTTTATTCGGTCCGCAAGCGACGATCTGGACCAGCACAGGCCAACAGGTCTGACAGGCTTAGAGAATATTTGGATGCTTGACCTGCAGCTTACTGACTTGACTATCCGTACGGAGAGAAGACATGCCAACCCCATACGGCATCTCCCCCAAGACTCAGTCGCTGAACACGTTATCGCGCGTGGGGTTGACGATGCGATGAACTGAAAATCTCTTGATCCCCCTCATTGCTTTTTCTTTTCTTGTTTCTCCCCCCTTCTCGTTTCTTTTTTGTTTTCTTTTGACTTTCTCCAATTCTCTCACAGCCTTCCATCTCATTCCCGCATCCCTTCCTGTCTCATTAGGTCCTGCTGAGAGATTTGTTTCATCACTACCCAGGGTGGTGGTGATTCCAGTCGCATTACAATAATCCTCTGCTTTTCTACTTATCATCTGCACCCCCTCAGCTTCTTTTTAGTTTTACCATCCTGACTTCCTGTCTCGCAAGGATAATTTTTTTGGACTTGGCAAATCTTTCCTTCTCCTGGCGCAAGTCCTAATCTTCCCAGGCAGATCCCCTCGCCGCTTGTTCATAACGCAACGCCTCTCCTTCAGCTTCTGTTGATGCCTCAAGCTCGGGCCCGGCTTGCCCAGATTGCACCTCGTTTCAAGCACCGGCAACTAGCACGAAGCTCACGCATTCCTCCTGCTGAGAGTAGACAACAAAGAGATAGGCGGGAAATGTTCTTGCGCTGCTCTACTTGTCCCTAACAAGAAGCCCACAAGCTTCGTCGCGAAGAAACCCTGTTTTCTCCCGTCTATATAACCTACCCGCCCACATTTATCCTAGTAGCTTGGTCTACCCTCTGCGCTGCGCTATTCTCCTGTGCCTCAGACCGACCACGACAGAGCCTCGGCTTTCCAGAGTCAGCACAATGAGGGTATGCTTGTGTTCGCCCTGTCTTACTAGAAACAGATAGCGCTATAGAAGGATTCGCAGACTAAAGAACCTCTCCATAGGCCTCCAGGAACAATACCCTCTGGGAAGAATCCAATGATATTCTTCGGGGCATCAATGGCTCACGAGCAACGCCAACATCATCACATAAACATGCCTCATCCGACGGGCTGACCCCGCCAGCAATACGCCTCGATAGCTCAGCGTCATCGATGGGGTTCCAATTTGGCTCTCACTCCGCAGTTCCTCCACCCCATCTGACATCAATACTCGGCCGGTACTTTCCATATCATGACCCGGCATCATCTCCCTTTGCCCAGAGCTTTGACTCTTCGCAGTACCCACTGGCCCGGTTCGCAGCAGATCAAGATGTTTGGACGCCGCTTCAGGTGACCGGCCTACCAACCCATGCCGGATCTCTCATGTGTCCCCCGATGGGGCCAAGTCAACAATGGTCTGGCCTCGATCGCAGACTCTCTACAGGCCACTACAGCACGCCATCTGAGACCGACAGCCAATATGCTAGTCTGCATCCATCGGAGTCAGGGTATAGCACGCAAAGTTGTACCACTCGCTCGGTGGCCGCATCTTACGCACTCGACCCAGCTTGCAGTCCCTACTCCGCACCATTCGAATTAGAACAGGATGAACGGTTATCAGTTTTAGACCTGAACACTGCTTCCTATGGAGATCCAATGGATGTATTGGAGCGAATGCAGTCTCCATCTCTCCTGGGTCCCGACGCAATCAAGTGTGATTACTCTGACTGCCAGTGGACTGGGAAATGTCCGTCAGATAAGCGGTAAGATCCATTGACCGACTCCATGCATGTGTTTCTGGCTAGCTAACAGCCTCCAGCAAGCACGAAGCCCGACACAGAAAGCTTTTCAAATGCGATGAGCCAGGTTGCACTCGAAAGGATGGCTTCGGGACGATCAATGATCTGGCACGTCATAAGAAGTGCGTCCATAAGCAAGAACCAGAACGCGGGCCCAAAGTAGTGTATATGTGCTTTGGAGTCAAGTGTCCTCGCAAGAATAAAAGATGGCCTCGCTTGGATAACTTCCGCCAGCACCTTACTCGGATGCACAATGATGAAGATGCTGAGGAACTGCTGAGAAAGTGAGTCTCGTGCCGATGTGTCGAAGCGAGTGATATCTGACGATGCTAACTCCCCGTGAAGATCCCAGGAGTGGTACGAAGACTGCCTTAAGCCGCAAGTGATGGCATCGTCGTTGATGGATCATCTTTCGGAAGCCAGTAGTCCACAGATACAGGACATGATTGACGAGTCACGGAACAGATCCGAGGATCCTCAAGTGCCACCTTCTCTCCCATACACAAGGGCTCGGGCGGAACTGGACACGGTAACCCCCGGCTCAGTCAGGGACGAGCAAGCCCGTCCAAGTCTCAGCCGTGCCACCTCTAAACCTGCGCATTCAAGTCCACAGGCTGTCGAACTACCACCACTGGATTCTCTCAGCTTTGACGGGTCACTAAGTCCGCGAACGACTTTTGCGGCTCGGTCGGACATCTCTCGAGGTGGCAAGAGGGAAGACATGGTAGCTGAAGCAGCCATGAACTTGATTACTACCATGACAAAATCCATGAATCTCACGCAGCAGCGGCAAGGGCAGCAATCTAAGGACGCCGAAAGTGCTGCGGAGCAGGAGGCCGAGTTGGCCAAGCTGAAGCGGGAGATCTTGCAAACGATTCTGACGACAGCCTTGGGCATGCTAAACGAAAGCTCGGAGCCATATCCATATAGTCGCCAACTTCAGGAGGGGAGTTCCGCCATGCATTCCGATCAAAGAAAATGGATTCAGTGTGAATTCTGCAGCAAGAAGACGCGATTGCGTTGTGAGATGAAGTATGTTCAAGGCTTTGGGAATGTGGACGTGGACCGACAGCTAACTTTGCGATACCAGAAAACACCAGAAGCGTCATGAACGTCCATACAGTTGTACTTCCTCGCACTGTAATAAGACTTTTGGAAGCAAAGAGGACTGGAAAAGACATGAGAACTCACAGCACTTTCACTCGAAAAGCTGGCGCTGTACACTACCGGACGCTACCAAAGAGGACCTACCTTGCGCCCGTTTGTTCTACCGCCAGCAGACTTACGTCCAGCACCTCAAGAAACAACATGAGATTGATGCGGAAGATGAGGTCCGAGCGGTTCTTTCCGATAGTCGCATCTCCCGGGACGGGCGGGCGTCATTCTGGTGTGGCTTTTGTCGGAAAGACCTCCCCTTGGGCCATGAACTCGAGGCATGGAATGAGCGCTTCAACCACATTGATACAGAACATTACAAGAAAGGCGAGCGCATCGAAGACTGGGTGTCTTCATCTGACCAGCTTACCGGAAATCAGCAACTACACGGAGGAGATGAATTCATGTCGGCTGATGCTGGGTGCGAAAGCGAGCCGATCATAGATGAGCACAGCGGAGGCGTCTGTGCACATAGCGATGGACAATTGGAGGAGGGCGAAAACATATCTTCCTACCACGATCAAATGCTGCTGGATGATGATGATAAACCTGCCCGAAAACGACCTACAGACCAGTCGAGGGGCTCCCTGCCGTCCACGTCATCACAAACACGCCTTTCGCACCGTCCCAGAAACACGAAGAAGAGGAAATACTCGGCCCTCTATTCCGCCTCAGATGTCGGCCCATGTGAGGCTCTCAGGACCGAATGTGCGAATCCGGAGCCACCATATATCAATGGATATGTGGGTAGCTATAGCATCGACTCACAGACTCGACCACAGCATACCCTTTGATAAGCTGGATGATATGGTGCAAAGTCAGTCACTGCGGCGTTTTATCCAGGAAGTGGAGATATGCAGTGTCGACGTTCGCAAGTTCTGTCCGATAGGCGTGTGAGCAGATTGAAATGCTATGCGCCAACTGAAGTTGAACCCATATGAGCAAGAAAGATCATATTTACCCCGATACCAGGCGAATTATGTGCTATGTGATGTGATGTATAAATGCCTGCGGTTTTCTTTTCTCTTTTCCAAACTACGTGCAGCATTCTAAACGATAAATGTGTACTTTTTGACCTCAATTATCCCTATACAATCAAGGGATGCAGACATACGAGTACCAGACACCTTTCTCTTTATTCTCAACCATTTCCATGTAGGAAGCGACATTGATGCATGGGGTATATACAATGGCAGATGCAGGTGGATAGAGTACAATCGATAGCAAGGAACACGACGCCATTAACTATTCCAGTAAGATCCAGTCAAGACCCGAATACTCAAGTATGCAAGCATTTACATCTTTTTCTGCGTGCCTGTCAACTCCCGAGCCTTTTCCTCAAGAGCAGTGACTTCCTCTATCGCTAGTCAGAATATCAAGGTCGACCCGTATAGAACGTAATCAAACAAGGATACAATAATATCACGGCGGAGCCAGGGTTCGAACTTACTATTCTTCTCATACTTGGATTCATCCATCTCGAGCTTCAACCACGTCCAATGAAGGACCTGGAAGGTGAAGACGGCGCCCAGGAAGACTTTGGCAAAGGGGCCGATGAAGAGTTTGTACCGGGCCATCTACCATTCTGTGAGCAACGCCTGGGAGAAAGAAGTGTGGATGAAGAGAGGAAGATGGTTAGCTTCAGTGGTCGCTTACGCCGTCTCGGTAGGCACTAGACGATGGATCGTTCGGTGCATTCAATCTGGTGCGGGTAGTGGTAAAGGTTCTTTGGGTGCCGGAGGCGATGGTAGCGCCTCTTACTGAGCCGCGAAGAGCGCCGGCTAAGAGAGAATTGATGGACATTTTTCTTTTACAGGATTCTGGAAGACAGTGAAAGATGGGGGGGGATCGAATTGAAAGAGACAAGCTTCGAATTTTTGAATGTAACTTGCAAGATATAGAGTTGCCAGCTTGCAGCTTGGGGAGTGCGTGCGCTCAGCTGTCTGATGATAACTTGATTGACTGCAAATGAGGATGATGTTCCGAATGGGACTAGTCCCAAGTCTCCCCAGCCGAGTTGGCTGACTCAGCAGTCACATGATATCAAGCGAGGGGACCCGGCGGCAATTAGGCGAAGGCGAACAGGCGGGGAAGAGTCAAAAAGCGATAAGCTTTGCGGGCCTGGGAGGAAAGCAAAAGCTCGTTCCTGATCTGTGAGCTCTTCTCTTTCTCAGTTCCTCCTCTCTACGTGTCCGAAGGGGCCGGCGACAGGTCTCGGAAAATTCGACAAAATCCCGTCGAAAACACGCATAACCCATCCGCATCATTCATGTTGTGACATCTACGAGATCATGCAAGCCTTTTCGGGGCAGATTGGGTGGATTGGCAGGGGGGGAAGATCGCAGTCTGAAGAAGCCAAAAGGCGGGTTTGTTGTTGATTTTTGAGGGGTGGGTTTGCAAAGCCCGCTTTTGGGGTCCGCCAAACCGTGACTGGCAGTCTGGCACACCGCGCGGACCGGGAGGATGGCACGTGCCCACACCATCTGGTCAGAGACTAAACCTAAATAGGGACTAATGATGGCGCCTAACTGTGGCGCGGGTAGCGGAACAGCTGTGGCTGGGTACGGCTAGGCAAGTCTTCCACTTCCACTGCCTTGCTAAGTTGCTATGCTTGCTGCTGCTGCTGCTGCCGCCGCCGCGCCCTTCGATCTTCGCCCGTCTGTCTGGTCTCTCTTGTCTATCCGCCCACACCCATATACCACACCCTCCCCCCCCCGGTCACTTCAACCGGCACTCCTCATTGATTTTCTTCCCTCCTTCTGTTCTTTCTCGTCATGCTGTCGATCGGTATCGTTCCTGGTACGGAGTAATTTGCCTTGTTTCCTCTTTTCACAGAAAGGTCTCAACTTGCGGAGGGGATCTTTTCGTCTCAGTTTCTTCCATTCATTTGATTCTGTTTTCTTTCCCTGTCCATCGACCTCTGGGTTCTCTCAACCTCTCCCAACTCCGCCTAGCGACTGCATGCGACGCGTTTTGACCTCTCTGGTGTCTCGCATCACTTCTTGCTCCATTCTTTTTTCTCTTGCGGGACTGGTTCACTTCGCGCGTTGCTGTCCCCTTTGCACCGCGCGTTATATATACGACCTGCCTCGGTTCTCGCGGGCGCAAAACGGGGCTTTACCGATTTCCCTTCAACTTGGTAGCCGCCAATAGTCAATGCTTGCTGCTTGGTGAGCGCAAGGACAATTGCTTGTTGGTGCTGTTCCATGAGCCCGCAGTCTTTCCCCTCGCATTGAATCTGAGGTGTTTGTCTGGTGCTATTGTCCGCTGCACAATCCATTGAATCAATTGGCTTTATTGAAACGCTTCCAACAGCCGTTTTGTGCCGAGTGAGTGTTACTTCTCACGCGACCAATTCACTACCTTTCCGCATTGTTACTGGAGCATCGGGCGCACTGACACCCAACGCCTCCAACAAGAAACACCATCGAATACATCACCATGCCTCGTGCCAAACGCTCCATCGAGGAGATGGCCAACAAGTCAGACTCGGATGATGACGACTACAGTGACCATCCGGTACAGTCAGCTCGACGCTCCGTCTCCCGGTCAAAGTCGAAGAAGAAATCCAAGCCCGCAAAGAAACGAGCCCGTCGCGGTTCGGACGATGACATCATCTCAGATGACGACGATATCTTCAGTGAGGACGAGGTTTCCTTTGAAGAATCGGAGGAAGAGGATGACGAAAATGCCCAACGGAATGCCAGAGGCCTAGTTGCTAGACGAGCCGCCACTAACCGACCGGTCTATAACGAAGGCGATACCAGCAGTATCGAAGATGACACCCCAGACGATGATGAAGTTGACGTACAAACATCCCCGAAGAAGCGCAAAAGTACTGTTGTCAAGCTGAAGGTCGGGAACGCACTCAAACGACAAGCGCAGGCGCCACTGGACAATTTTCAAGGCACTCGCCGGGTGACGAGACGTACGCGAGATCCGTCGGAGGATATCTATGCCCTTACGAACTCGGGTCGTCACATGGAGACTGTCGAGCGAGGAACTCAGAGTCCGGAGATGGAAAGCCGGCTTCGACGGGGTTCCAGGGCATCGAAACGCATACCTGTGCTAGACGAGGAAGAGGAAGGCGAATTCCAAACGAAGCAGGAGGAAGAGGAGGTCATTGACGAGACGACCACTGAAATCAAAGGCTCGCAGCTTGAGATTTTGGAGAGCGATGTTCAAGTCAGTTTTGAGGGAGCTGTACCAAATCCCACCCAGAATGAGGACGATGGGGAAGGTGAAGATGAGGGTTTTGTTCCTGAATCCGAGAATGGCGATGCGAAGGCTGGCGTTGAGGAGGATGGGAACGACGAAGACGATGAGGAAGGGCCAATCACTAGAAGGAGATTGAGGCCAAATCGGGGCCAGCCAGCGGAAGATGAAGCCGGCCAGCCTCAGGAAGTCCAAGAGGAGGAACTACGTCGATCTAGTCGCAAGAAACCCAACAACTTTCAACGCAAGCGTCGGGAAGAAGAAAGTGACTTCGAACCCGAAGAAGATTCAAACGACGATGACGAGGTTTCTCACTCCGGCAAGTCGAACGCATCTCCGCGCAAAGCCAGCCAAGCTCGTGATGACGATGATGATGACTATAGCACTGCTGGTCGTCGCCCTGGCTTGCGCAAAAGGGCGTCTCGATCACGTGGCCAGTCGGAGGCAGGAGCTGATATTGCCGAGGAGCTAGCCGAAGAATTGGAAGACCTGCGAGGAAGTCGGTCTCGCCGTCGAGTACAACCTGAGATTGTCTACGAGAAACCTCGACGCAGTCGGAAAGATGTCGACTACCGTATCATTCGCCCGGATCTTATCCTGCCCATCGAAGAAGCTGAGAACGAAATCAATGAATCGCCTTCGCGTCGGGGCCGCGGAGGGGGTGGCGGCAGTTGGCAGCGTACTCTGTTTCCCACTTACGGGCCTTTTGGAGGTGGCGGGCCATCTGCGATCTTGGGTCCTCCGGGAGCACCTGCTGCGACGGGGGGTGTGGACAGCGATAGCAGTGATGATGAAGTTATGCAGCATCCTAAGACTGGGGTCAGTGGCTCGTTTTCGGCACCTGGACTACCCGGAGCGGGTTTTGTCGGTCAAACTCATGGCAATGACGCCGCGCAGGGCCTCTCGGGCACCCCTGCGAATCTCGGAAAAGTCAAAGATAAACAGGCGTTGGCCGATGCGGATCCACTGGGGGTAGATGTGAACGTCAACTTCGATAGTGTGGGAGGCTTACAAGGACACATCGATCAGTTGAAAGAGATGGTCTCTCTGCCACTGCTGTACCCGGAGATATTTCAGCGTTTCCACATCGTGCCCCCTCGTGGTGTCCTTTTCCATGGACCTCCCGGCACAGGAAAAACCCTTCTGGCAAGAGCTCTCGCTAACAGTGTCAGCTCGAATGGTCGCAAGGTCACTTTCTACATGAGAAAGGGAGCCGATGCCTTGAGTAAATGGGTGGGTGAAGCAGAACGTCAGCTTCGGCTTCTCTTTGAGGAGGCTCGCAAGACACAACCCAGTATTATCTTCTTCGATGAGATTGATGGTAAGTCAGATTGCTCTTAATCCCGATGCAACCGTGTAGCTTCAAGAGTTAACCGACCTCTTACCTAGGTCTGGCACCTGTTCGGTCAAGCAAACAGGAACAAATCCATGCCTCAATTGTCTCCACCCTGTTGGCGTTAATGGATGGGATGGACGGTCGTGGTCAAGTGATTGTCATCGGAGCTACAAATCGACCGGACTCAATTGACCCGGCGCTTCGTCGACCCGGTCGATTCGATCGTGAATTTTACTTTCCTCTGCCCAACAAGGACGGGCGACGTTCTATTCTGGATATTCACACAAAAGGCTGGGAACCGCCGCTTCCAGATTATATCAAGGATGAGCTCGCAGAGATTACCAAGGGCTATGGAGGAGCTGATTTACGAGCTCTTTGCACGGAAGCTGCCTTGAATGCGGTGCAGAGGCGGTATCCCCAAATCTACAAGTCTAATCAGAAACTTGTCATCGACCCGAAAACTATCGATGTCACACCGAAGGATTTCATGTTAGCAATCAAGAAGATGGTTCCCTCTTCGGAGCGATCAACCTCCTCCGGCGCATCGCCATTGCCCAAGTCGGTTGAACCTTTACTGCGTGCACCGCTTGCTGACATCGAGAGCCTGGTGTCTGAGATCCTACCGCAGAGAAAGCGGCTCACTGCATTGGAAGAGGCACAATTTGAGGAGCCCGCTGGGGGTGGCTTCCAGCGCGAACAAATGCAGCAAGAGTTCGACAGGTCGCGAGTCTTCCGGCCTAGACTACTACTCCGCGGTCCGCTGGGTATGGGCCAGCAGTATCTGGCGGGAGCCCTTTTGCACCACTTCGAAGGTCTGCATGTTCAGGCATTTGACCTTCCAACCCTTCTGAGCGATTCCACTCGATCTCCTGAGGCCGCCATCATACAGCTTTTTGCTGAAGTGAAGAGACATAGGCCCAGCGTGATCTATATTCCCAACATCCACACTTGGTCTGAAACTGTTGGGCAGGCTGTAATTGCCACTTTCTTGGGGCTACTTCGATCGGTTCCTCCCACAGACCCGGTGTTGCTATTGGGCGTTCAAGAGTCGAATAGCGAGGAATTGGACAATGGACTGATGAGAAACCTGTTCGGGTACTCCAAAAAGAATTTCTTTGACCTCAAGGCGCCGGGCAATGATGCACGTTATGAGTATTTTACCAAGGTAATCGACTACATCAAGACGTCTCCAGCCCACTTCCCCGATCCCGAAAACCGCAAGCGCCGGGAGCTTGAAACGTTGGAGATCGCGCCTCCACCGCCGCCCAAGGCTGCCACCCCGCCAAGCAAGGAGCAGCTCAAGGCCCAGAAGAAGAAGGACTACCAGACCCTCAATCTCCTGAAGATCCGGATTCAGCCTATCATGGATCAAATCAAGAAGTACAAAAGGTTCAGAACGGGCGTGATCGACGAGTCTCAGATCCGGTACCTCTGGGAGGAAGAAAATCCGAGCATTGTTACCAGTGATCTGCCAATCGAACAACGGACCACCTTCCGACCGTTTGAGAAGGCTTTCGACAAGCACGGCGTTCCCGGACTACGTGAAACAGTATCGGGCAAATTCTTCTACAACCTGGAGATCGTGACTATCGAGAAACGGCTTTCCAACGGGTACTACAAACGACCAAAGGACTTTTTGGCGGATATCAAACGGTTGGCGAAGGACGCGCGGCAATTAGGTGAACAAGAAAGGCTGCTCAGGGCCAATGAGCTCTTGTCCAATGTCGAGGTTGACATCGCTACCATCGAGCAGGCCGAACCGGCCCTTGTTGCCGAGTGCGAGGGTGTCTATGTCCGGGAGTTAGAGAGAGAAAAGATCGCGCTGGAAAGGGCTCGAAAAGCAGCAGAGGAAGACGAAGGGGGCTTTGTCGGACGGCTGACCGCTAACTTGGTTCCACACGGAAATACCGACTCTGGTCCATCAAGTGGTCCCGTTGTTCTCGGAGAATCGTTCCCTGACCTTGGGCCCAAAGACAAAGGAAGGCCGGTAACGCCTACACGACCATCGACAGTGAGCTTCACAAACGGCTTTCACCACGGTGGTGGCTCGGATCTGAACGACCTCAGCACGCAAGCAGTCACAAGCAACGGCTCCCACGACTATCAGGCTGATGGCGATGGGGATACATACATGACAACCTCGGATCAGTCGACAGGGCGCGACACACAAAACAGTTCATTCGGGCCCTCTGCACAGCCAAAGCCAGCATATTCCCATACGGCACCTTCACAGCAGGTCCGACGTGAATCCGGCATCTCTAGCTTTTCTCAAAAAGGGCCTGTTACCCCCTTAGCACCTGGATCTCAACCCCATGATTACACCAATGAGGCGTCTACCACGCAGACAACGTCCGACAAAAAGTCATCGGAGCAATCGTCGGTCCCGCAAAACCACTTGCATAGTCCTGTGACTGCTCACGGAATCCGACATGAGTTCCCGGATCTTACACAGTACCCCGATCGTGTGTCCCAGGAAGAACACCTGCCGGACACACAGCAAGGAGACAGCAGCCAGCCTTCACCACGCCTCCAGGGTGGTTATGCTGATTTGGTACATATTGACAACGGAGGGGCATCTCAGCAACGCGCCCAGCCTCCAGTTCCTCTGTTCGAGACTGCTGGCAAGCACTCCGCTCATGTGCCGGCAAACCTGCAATCTTTGCTGAATAATGAAGACCTTTCACCTAAGTTGATCTTGGATCAGGAGTACGTTCAAAGTTTGCACAATCAGCTTACGCAGCGAACGAGCGGCTGCAGCGTGGAGCAGTTGGAGCAGATTAACACGAATCTGATGGACTATCTCTGGCAATCGCGCAGCGAATGGAATCGCAGCAGAGTTGCTGCTGGCATTCGCGACACGTTCAACGACGTTCTGGAAGACATGTTGGCTATGCAAGAGATTGGGCCCATCAGCCAGAAGACGAAAGAAATCTTGGGCGAGTCTGCGTATCACTCGTAGGCCCTATTCTCAGGACCGGCTGGCTACACTTTCGAGTGGATTTATTTCTCGTTTCTTCTCATTTAGTTTCGTCTCATGCGCGGTTTGGTTCTAGGGATACCTCTTTGAAGTGACAATGGTTTTATGTAATAGGCTGTATGGCAGATGACGCCGTCAGCTTTTCAGTGGTTTACAAGCTTCTGTTTCCTTTGCATGGCTGAATCATACCTGGCTTGGTTATGGGTTCTCGCATTGATTGATTCCATTATACCGGGCGGTGCAGGCTTCGTTCATTTGGGTAGTCTGATCAGACTCTTTAGGCAGTAGTGCAGCTGTAATATCTCTGGAAGGTATTCGTGCTGTCGTACTCAGTGGCATTATTTTAAAGTATGTAGATAGAAATGTTGTGGTGAATCAACCATTGCTTATCGATAAAGGGTCCAGACATGTGACACGGCCAAGACACCAGCCTGGCCTTTAATCTTCCTTACCGTAAGTGTACTCATTGATCCGTTCCGCCTTCTGCTTCCGCGTGGCTTCAAAACCACACCCACTCTTTCCAATTGTTTACCACGATTACACACCACATATTCTTCAAGATGGTGGATTGGATCTCCCTCGCGGTGCCGTTTGCCTACTTGGGCGTTCTACTCGGCTCTCTCGCGACATTCTCCTCTCTCTACCGCAAGCGCAAAGCCAGTACGTATTGACGTTCATGATGCATCATCCATCTCTTCCCTAGCCCTCCAAACCACTACAAACCCAGCCCCCCCCCTCTTCTTAGACATTCTACCGCACCTAGAGCTCTCTTATACGCACACGCGAATCTTTACTGACTGCCAACCCGCAAACAGCCAAGGCATTCTCCCTGGAGCCATGGTTCCCCGCCCACGTGCAACGCGACATCTATTTTAACCTGCTCCACCTCGACCCCCCGAAGGACAGCAGCAAGGAGAAGAAGGGCCCCGCGGTGCCGGAGTCGGTACTGAAGGCGGCGTTGCTGCGCCGCGCGATCGAGGACATCAAGCGCGTCATGCAATTGAGGTCGCAGAAGCAGGCTCTGGCCATGTTGCTGCAGCGCGGCAGTGTGGGGGATGATCTCTGGCAACGGTTCACACGTGCGGAAAAGGAGATGGAGGAGGAGGTGCGGGATGTTGTTGCTGAGGTTTGTTCTTCTTTTCTTTTTTTGGGGGGGTTTCCTTCCCTCTCCCTTTCGTTTTTTCTTGAATTGGTTTTCCTTTTTTTTTTGAATATGAGTAGAGAGTTGAGTGGGTTGACACGTTCGGATCTAGGCGAATGCGTACGTTCCCGGCTGGGGTCAGACGATCTTTCAGTCGGCCAACGAGATGCTGAATAATGATCTCTACCGGGAACGCATGGAGAAGGAGCAGGCTAAGCTTGAGGAGGAGCGCAAGTGGTGGGAGAAGAAGAGGGCGAACACTCAGGAGGAGTTTATGAAAGAGCTGGATGCCGAGGCGGCGAATGCGACTCCTTCGAGGAAACAATCCGAGTCCTCTGTTCCCGCCGCTCCCGCTGCTGCTACCCCCACGACCCCGACTGCTACGAGTGGTGCCGCCACGCCGAATTCTTCCACGCCGGCGATCAAGACCCCCGAATCGTCCTCCGGCGCGCCGCCTTCCGTGGCGGGAAGCAGTGATGATGATGGGGTGTTGGTCGAGGCGGATGAGCAAGGAAAGAAGTAGACGAGGTTCAATGTGTCTGTATGGGATTGGGCAGCTTTCAGTGTGATCTTTTCGACTATTTTTTTTTCTCCCGGTGTGGTGTTATCAAATGCTGTTCTTGAACAAGGTTATGTCCCGGTTTCACTTCTGCTCGAAGTCCGTTGGTAGCGCTGTATTTCCCATTGAGTGGGAAGAAAAGATTCCTTTGTTACAACATGATACACCAGCCTCAAGAGAGGAAATGTTCATCCGTTTTACATCACACTATAACATTTATATATACACGAAACGAGACCGATGACAAACACCCCCCCCCAAAACGCCATCTATACTAACGCTGCAAGCCATATTCCACGGTAGGCGCCAAATATCGCGGGTAAACACGCTTTTCGGACAACAACTTCACAACAGTTGGCTGTCGCCCTCCATTGCCGACCCCAGATCAATCCCGGATACTGCCATCTCGTCCGCCACCGACCTGATTTGGGATTCAACGAGACTCGGGTTGTTGGAGATTCGGTTCATTACCGCGCGCAGCAGCTCAACCATGATCTCCAGCTGGTACTGCTCTTGCTCGGCCGGTTCGAGCCCCTGCAACGTTTGACCCCGGGCCTCGAGCGCGGCCGTCTTCCGGTTATTAAGGAGCTGCACCAGTGTCTGCACATGCGCGACGCTCTCCTTGCTTCTGGGAGTACTGGAAAGGCGGCGGAGACGACGTTTGGGTGTGTCGGCCGGGACACCGGCCATGCGGGCTACCTGAAGAACGATGATCCGGGCGGTGGTTGCGTCTGGGGCAAAGCCGAATGTGGCGCGCATCGCGTGGAGAGCGACGAGCGTGCCCGGGAGGTCCTTGGATAGGCAGAAGCAACGGATGATCTGGTCGTATAACTCCTTGGAGAATTCTTCCCGTGCGAGCGACTGACCGCGGGCCGGGAGCTGAGCGAACCACCGTACCATTTCCGAGAAGAGAACGCGAGCGCTGGGGAAGCCGGCCACAAAGGCGGTCCGGCTACGGTCGTACTGGAGCTTGCCGCAATCCCATAAGCAGGCGAAAGTCTCGAGGTCCGGTCGTGTCACGGTGCACAACGATTGATATTTCTGCCACAGGGCCTGTATGTCTTGTTTCCGAAGCTCCGCGTAGAGAAGGTGGTTCATGAAGTACGAATTGGGCTGAAGGCGCGCATCACCTAGGCATTTGATCAGGTATTTGACCATGTCTTCGTCGCTCCGTCGAGTGTAGTGAAGAAGGAGAATCGAAAAGGTCTCAATAGTAGCACTGGGCATGGGGCGCTGCATGAACTTCGGTATGCGAGTGCTGTCCATGTCCTGATCGACATCGACCTTGGGTGCTTCCCCTCCTGCATTAATTCGTGCCCAAGCCGAGTCAATTCGTCGCTGAACCATCGCCCATCCTAGGCATTCGGCTTTTTCCCGTGACGCGGCATCCCCGTCCCGCAGCCAAGCAGCAACAAGACCGTTGAGATGTTTGGGATCCGGATGGATGCCTCTTTCGTACATCAGCTCGACTACGAGTGCTGCAGAGTCCACCTCACCCATGCCTATAAGCTTCTTCATCCAACTGGCGTAGAAAAAACGATTCTGGAATTGTCGGGGCAGAAGAGTCAAGGTCGATAATGACACCCTGTTCACCTCTTCCTCGGAGACGCTCGACGCTTGAAGACTGCCAGCCAGGCCAAGGGCCGCCTTGTAGAGTGCGGTTGAGTCGTTCGCCGGATCACGCCCGGTCACCATCATGTCTTTGAACACGGCTATGGCCAGGCCCAGCCTGCCAGCTTTAAGCAGACCGATGCTGACGAAGTCGTAATCGTTCATCGTCATTTGGTGATCGCGGAAGGCTTTGAGCTGGAGATACAACGCCCACGCCTTGGCCTCTGCCTCTTTCCCCGGCTTTTCAGCCCATGCTGTTATGATGGGAATGAGGATCCGAGGCTGACGGGATGAATCATTTGCGAGGAATGCTAGGGCAATATCCTGCGCTCGCTGAGGATTGCCTTCCGCCGAGAACAGCTGTACCCCCAAGGTCCAATACGCTTCCAGGTCTTCTTTCGTCTGGCAAAGCCCGGTCTGGTGGGCTTCCCACTGTTCCAGGGCATCTCCTGTCTTCCCCGTGACATGAAGTGCTTCGATAAACGAGATGATTCGTCGTGTCGAAAGAGGAAAGCCAACAGAAATGGCATCTTCAGCAAGGGTCTGGATGTGCGTCGCGACCTGGGACCCCGGTAGACTTTGGTGCGCTTGCGAATCCCACAATAGCGTCCAGGCTTCTTCCGGTATCAATTTCAAGAAGCCAGGGACAATGCGTTTGCAGCGACGATACCACTTCCATACTTCCTGTATTCCTCGCTCATCCTGCTTTCCTTTCGCGACGGATTTCAAAGTCTGGTTGAATTTTTCAATGTAAGGGCGATGTTCTGTTTCATCGGGTATGATCTCGTAAGACTTCCGAACGACCTCTTTGCGGGATCCCTTGCCATCAAGGTTTGAGTACCAATTTTCTTCCTCCTCGGCCATACCCTGAAACTCTTCCTTCAGCATGTCGTCAAGCCCCTCATCAAAGACTTCATCGAACCAAGGTTGGGGTTTGGAAGGGCCCTTCTCCGCCTCGTGTTTTCGAATAACTTCGAGCGCAATCGCTCGCTCCTTCTCCGGCAGCTCACGAATAAACTGGCTATTGGGACCGAACGGGCCCTCCTTCAGGATTTCCAACTCTCTATCTAACTTGGCCAACTCGGCCTCCACCTCTTCTCGTTCGACGCGGTCATCGGCCTCGGGGTCGACCTTCCTGATATGCTTGCTTCCCGGTGTTGCTTTTTCGAAGAAGTTGATTTTGTCATTGGGTCCGCCATAGTGAAGGTAACGTGGTGCTACCGGGTAAAAGGCCCCCGGCCCTCTGCGGGCCACATGTTGGTACCACCGAGCTCCTCGGACGGCCTGGCGGAGCATAGAGTTCGACCGTTTAGCGCATCGGACAAATAGTGTGCGGTTCGGAGAAGTCTCAACGCGAAGCGCGTGAGAGAGAGAGTGAAGTGCAAGTGTGTATATGTGAGATTGCGAAAAGACGGAGGTAGGGTGGGAGGGGGAGGGGAAGGAAAAGGAGCAACATGGAAGTTAGTGAGCAGTGGCGGAAGGAAAAGCGCGGAGGAAGATCATCAGCTCCGCGGCGGAAAACCAATACTTACTTGATCTGGTTTAGCGCAAATGTGAGCTCGATTCCACCCTCTTTCAATCGGTCTCGCCCTCTCCTCCCCCTCCCTCTCTCTTTTCGCGAACTGTTCCTTGTATCCTACGGGTGCTATCCTGTGCTATCTAGCTGAAAGATACTCCCGGGCACCCCGCGATGGACGCGAATCTGCTAGAATTGGACACCGGTGGCGCCTTGAAAGATGGCTCCCAAAGTCAGGTACAGAACATACCTCTCCCGTCGCAGCGCTTGTCCTTCCTAGACTCCCCAGTCCGTCGCTGACAATCAATCTTGAAAGGGTGTTTACATTTATCGACCGCTAGATCAGATCAAATCCTCGGGAGAACGACCGACGAAACGGCGCAAAGTTGCACGAACGGATCTACCGAAGGCTGCGAATTCCCGTCCTTTTGTATCTCTTTTGAACGGCGATGAAGATGCAAAGTCCATTGAACTGCGATATCGCACATACCAAAAATTTTGGGCTGCTCAGGAAGCAAAAATCAAGGTACGCGAGTAAATGCTGTGTTTTGACCGAGGGAGTAATAACGATGTGACTTAGGGCATTCTGGATGATGTCGACTCCGAGGTCCTCACCAATGTCCTGTCCTTCGTCAGGTCGACCTCACCCCAAACGTAAGATTGCGGTACCACCGAAGGAAGCCAGTCCCTAATCAAAGACAGTTACGATGGCTGTATACCTGCGGCGCTAGTCACGGTTGGCTCCAATGTCTCGTCCCTCGGCCGACTGCTTTCTAGACTCAACGGTCAACTGACAGCAACTGGAGAAGGCGGGGTTATTGCATTGGAATCTGGTGATGCACCGAACCTTAAGACAACTCTGAAGAACATCATCCGCTTCGGTATCACAAATACGGAGGGAAATGAGGGTTATCAGAGTTTTGTCACTGACCGAGAGGTATAGCGGGTTTATTCTTCAGCCGACAATGAGCGCTAATGGTGACCATAGGGTCCAAGAGTGCTTGGTTATGACCTTGACTTGTTGGCAGACTATGTCAAAAGAAAGGAGGTCAAGAATCTGGTTCTAGCATTTCGTGACAGTGAAGCATTTGACCCTGGTATTCTGGCGGACCTCTTGTCGCTTTTGAGGTGAGCTATTTCGTATCAAATTACGGTGGTTATAAGATTTACAACTCACGGTTATCAGCTCGTGGCTCGATCGAATTCCATTGACACTTATATTCGGTATCTCGACGTCCGTGGAACTTTTTGAAGGGAGACTACCTCGGTCCACGGTTGCCCTGTTGCGAGGACGGTATTTCGAGATTCACGAAGCAAGCAACTGCGTGGATCGCATCTATGGGAGGATACAAGCAGAACAGGATGGAAAATTTTGGCTAGGTCGTAACATCACCAGCGTACTATTTGAGAAGTCAAGCGACTCCTTTCAGACACCAGAAGCTTTCAGTCGAACAGTTAAGGTAAGTTTTTTGCGCACAGGCACCATGTCGGGTGGCCTAGGCTAAGTCTCTCAGTATGCCTATATGTCACATTTCTTCGCCAACCCATTAAGCGTGCTCCTCGCGGATGATGCTGCTACCACAATACAACGCGACAAAGTATGCGAGGCTCTCAGAAACCTTCCATCTTTCCGAAGGTAAGTGTCTCGCCTCTAGTTGCGAGCTGCCAGGTCTAAAACAATTTAAGGTACTGCGAAGATACAATGGAA